GTCGTGTATGATTCCAGTTCAGCCCTTAGAGAATAATCCGGATTTGACTTATAATGAGGAACCCATGATTATTTTGGAATAGAAAGAGGAAGTCCTGAGAAATAAAACAGTGTACTTGGTAAAAGTTTTATAGAAGAATCATTCAGCAGAAGAAACTACTTGGGAGACAAAAGATCGAATGAGAGGGATGTGTTCCAGGTTGTTTTATGGATATCGATGGATTGTAAAGATTGTGTAAATTTCGAGGATGAAATTTTTTAAGGTGGGTAGATTGTGATAGCCCGTCCCTGATTTTAAGAGTTTTAAGGTTTTAATAAAGGATTTTACAAAATGCCCTTTGAGGCACGCACATTATTCAAGGTTAATCGTTGTGTCGTGCCATCTAAGATTTGTTTTCTTAACATATCCTCGTAGTACTCGTCGCTACGGACGTGTGGGCGCTGACGGTTCGTGATTTGGAGTTATATCGAAAAAGTTATTAACGTTTGAAATTTGGGATTTTAAGGAATTATAATTTTAGTAAAATCCAGAATTTCTTTTATGAAAATGGACGGCCCAGATTTAATGAAGAATGTAATGGATGGCTTGGATGTAAGAGAAAGAAAATAAAAATAAAAAGATGAAAGAAGGTTTTGTGTGTGTGTGTACGTGAACGGAAGAAGAAGAAGATGGAGGATTGGGCAAAGCTGCCCAATCGGAACAGGAGAGAGGGAGGAGTTGGGCCAACCAGAAAGAAGAGAAAGTGGAGGACCAATCAGAGGGAGAAGAAAGGAGGAAAGGAGAGAGGGCGAGAAGCGGAGGAGAGAAGGAAGGAAACGGGTTTTCCCCCAACCCGTTTACCCGCGCACCCACCTCCATTTTTCTAAGGATTTTCACCGGATTTCTCACGAATTGGATCAAGGTACCACTCCCAATCAACACCTAGGCCTTCCCTCTTCATGTTTCAACCCAAAAATCATGAAATTTGATGGTGATTTGGTGAAAACCGCGCCCGTGGGTGCCGCGACTTTTTGTTCAAATTGTTCAAATCTTGAAATGTTTTCTTTCAATTACTAACACCATTAGCATTCCCCTAGGACCTGGAACAAATCCCAAGCATTGGTTGGGACGGCGGAATTGATTTGAAGGTCGAATTGAAAACACCCAATTCTAGGGTTCTTCACGGTTTTGGTGAAATTGGAGCTCTTCCAGGCCAAATTGGCCTTGGACACAGGTATAAAGTTTGCTCTAATCATTGAGATCTTCGATTCTGTATTTTTTGAGAATTTTTGGAAATAGTTGGATTTTCCGGCGAGCCGGGGCGGCCAACCGCCACCAGCGACGGCCCGTGCGGCGGCACATGGCCAATGGCTCGTCAATGTCATTCTTAGCATGTGTTTAAGGTTCTAGGTTCAGTTTTGATAATTGATGGACGTAAATTGAGTAATTGAACCTAAGTTCGTTTCGATTCGTGGTTAGGTGAAAATGTGAATTGACGATCCGACCGTCGGATAGTCACCAAACTTTGATACGTTGTAATACGTAATATTTAAGGATTATAGGAACTTACGGATTGGGAATCCGATTTACGGATCTTTCGGAATTGGAGTTGTAAGTTCATAAAATAGAACGTTAACCGTCACTTGGTTTTGGAAATTGACGGAGATCCGACCGTTGGATGGTAATGAATTTTAGGATGTTGTCCTAGAGGTATATTGTGGACCTTTGGAAGTTATGGATTTGAAATCTGAGTTGCAGATCTTCCGGATCGAACTGCGTAGTGATATGTTTTATATAAGTTACATATTCTATCGATATGAATTCTGAGGTTGGATTTGATTATTGTTCTAGGCGCCGATCGTCATGACACCTTGATGTGTGGTGCTAGGGAGTTGTTGGGCGAACTCCAGGTGAATGGGCAGTACTTTCTATTTATACCTATATACTATGAATTTTCCCAGAAATTGAGTTTTAATGAAAGTATGTTTCTAAAATGCCATGCATGCATAATATGAATGATATGAATGATATGAGTTATATGAATTGATAATTGATGCATATATATATGTGAATTGGTGCTGTGGACGCACAGGTAAGTATCAGGTGAGTTTTATATTATTCATGTGAATCATTGATGATGTATATTATGTTGATAGCTCATAACCTGCAATCATGGTGTTAGTGCTTATATTATTCACCTCGCACCGCACGCTCACCTTGGATCCAAGTAGGTGCATGTTGTACAGACCATGAGAGGGTTCCGACATGTCGTACAGACCATGAGAGGGTTCCGACTGATAGGTGACCTTAGATTATGTGCACAGATTATTGATGAGAGAAGCACTAGAGCGTATTATTACACCATTCATGTCGTACAGACTACTTCAGGTAGTTCCGACTTATATGCAGTGTAGTGCCGTACAGGTCACCGAGGTGACTCCGGTTGGATTGGATGTTGAGCTATAGAATTAACCGTACAGGACCAACTGCAGGGTCTCCGGTTAATTCATCATTTCACATGTTACATTGATGCATCATTCATTCTGTTTTTGAAATTATAACATGGCATACTTTCTGGTTTTTGAGAAAAATTGATGATTTGAAATTTATGAAAAGTATTATGCTATTATGCTATTTTCTGGAAAAGTATACAGGTTTTACAGCGAGGGGTTAGAAATGTTTTAAATGAAAAGTTCTCGAAAAAACTTTGTTTTACTGACCCACTCAATTTTGTTTTGCGCCCCTCCAGGTTCTAGATAGCAGAGCTTTGGTGGCCACGAGGAATCCAACGGTGTTCTGACAGAATTCACAAAAGTAGGACTCACCCTCGGGTATTTCATCTTAGTAATTGTATTTTTTAAAGCTTCCGAACTGTGTAAATGGTTACGTCACTCTCACGTGACGGTCAGCATGTCCTTCTTCGGGACGGGGTGTGTCAAGGTGTACAAAGTCAAGGGACCTTGATCAAACTTTGAATACTATTAATGTTTTAATCAAAGAATGTTAAGGATTAGGGACCGCATCCAAAATATTTTTGATTACTATAATCCTGTAAAGTTGGTCAGAGAGAGAATATAATTAAGCAGTGGCGAAGCTGATGAAGGGCTAGGAGGTACGTGCCCCCTCTCAAATTTGTTGAGTTGCAAAAACAATCGATTCTTCCCTTGCATTCTCTTTTGAAATTCTCAATATCTCTATTTCAAATCGTATAAAGTTTAAAAGATTCAAATGAGAGGTTAATCACAGAGAAACTATTGGAAGATGGAAGTCAACTAGGGTTAGGTTCTTTATCCACTGTACAATACCGGAACCCTAGTTTCTAGGGCAAAGTTTCAACGTCACTTGTAGGTGGTTGTTTACATCAATCAAGGATTGTAACCTCTCTTAGCTGTCTTGTGTCCCTAATTCAAAGGATTTGTAATTAGCTGTTAGCAGGTTTTAAGCGTGATTTAAGGAAGGTTAGAAGGTTGTTTCTTCTTCCTTGCCTTTATATTGTTATCAGGTCTCTTGTACATTTTATGATAAGTGTATTATATAAAACATTCAAATTACAACACCGTATCAGAGCAGTGACCCTAATAGGCATGTCTTTGTATATCCTCGTGTGTTCATTGAGCTCTTCTTTAACCCTCAACAATGACCGAAGAGAGTTCATTTATCTGGAGGGAGAAAGCTGCTCCATTCTGTCCTTTTTTCGACGTTGAAGTTAACCCAAATCAACGTCTTAGTCCAGTGTTATTAAATGAGTTCAACTATCTTCCCAGGGAAAGAGCTGTGTCACTAGCTCTGGGAGGACGATCTAAACTTGCCTAAGTCATGGAGTCATTCCTATGCCTAAATCCACTCACGAACCTATGAGGCCTGGTTGTGCAAAGACCAGCTCGTCATGTCATGGCTGCTTAACTCTATTGAGTGAAAGATTGCTAAGATCTTCAGCTATGCCGAATCATGCAGCTCGAGTGTTCGGACTCAAGAAAGACATCGCTGGCTTGCAATAGGAAGGAAAATCCTTTGTGCAACACTTTGGAAGTTTGACAACGAAGTGGAACGAGCTCAATGTTTATCGCCCTCACACCACCGATATTGCAGTATTGTTGAAGGGGGTTGAGGAAGATGAAATATTCCAACTATTGGCAAGCTTATGCTCATAATTTGAGGACCTTCGAAGTCATATTTTCATTAACCCTGACCTTCCATAATTCTCGAGCATCTGTGCTACCATTCAAATGGGAGGAAGTCCGCTGTAAGGTGATGAATAGAAGGTCAAGACCAACTTGCCTAAAGTAAGGGCCTATGCTTTCAATTATAAATTAGAGGAGAGAAGTTACAAAAGAAAGCGACTGGTCTTGAAATGTAGCCACTGTAACGCTGGTGGTCCTTCAATAGACAGGTGTTGGATCCTCCATCCAGAATTAAGGCCCAAGTTTTTTAGAGATCACAAGGGTTCCTCAAAGGGCCCCTACAACTCACCTCACATATCAAACTTCGTTGCTTCTTCAACCTCAGAGGAGATGTTGAATTTCATTGCCAATCTAGCAAGTCTGATCAATGAAGCAGACATGGCAACAGTAACCAGACAACATCGCTCGGGCAGTTTGCACGCTTTCTAGCTGCGAATGAAAGCATATCACCCAAGGACATCCCAGGTATTCTGAAATCCTTGTCAACTGCTCTCCAAGTTTCAAAAAAAATTATTTGATTTGTTCCAAAAGAAAAATATTGGTAAAATAAATAAATTATCACAAAAAAAAAAAAAAAAAAACCACATACACACAAATAACAAGTTAGCGCATGAAAATTAAAATTTACATCTCATTTATTTATGCATTGGGCTAAAATTATAAAAGTAATTTTGCATCTCGCATATACGTCTCTAAGATTAAAAATCTTTTTAGGAGGGCTCGGAGCAAGGATACAAGAAACGAAGTACACATGAAGCAACTAAAATGGTTACGAATGGAGAGAGAGGGAGAGAGTGTGTTTTGGTCATTCTAAGTTCAAAGACTTTCCTCTAACTTCCCAAATCTCAGAGGCTGACATTAGAGGAAGAGAGCTAAATGTAGCCAAGAGCAACTTGCCGGCAAGACTCTGCTGATTAGAGCAAGATACTGTAAAAGCCGGCAAGTCATCCTTGGCTGCATTCCGATCTCTTCTGCTTGATGCAAACACTCTGAGACTTTTATATACAAATACAATGCCCGAAATATGCATTCGAATACGTTTACTTCCATTCATATATATAGGCAGAAACAAGATGATATAGATTCATATAATAGTGCGCGACACTTGCATTGCCGACTTGATCAGCTTTACAGTTATCAAAAGAAAACAGCTTTGCGGTGTGAATATGATTATGCCTCCCAAAGGCCACAACAGAATCCTAATTTTCCATGAAAAGTATATGGTCCATATTCAATTAACTTTTGGGACCTTTTCCTGTTGAAAAAGTTAGCAATTTCCTTTTATTTTTTGTTAGTTCTTATGTGCTATTTTATGTATTAGATTTTTATAGTCACTACTACATAAAATAGTTTTCGCGATGAAATAAAAATCGTCGCATAAAAAAGATTTTCGCTGTTAAAATGATACACGATGAATACTTCGTCGCCCACAGTTCGTTGCACAAGGCTCGTAAAGAAAAGTATTGCGCGACAAAGAGAAAAACAATCATCGTGCAATATAGTTTGTGCGATGAAAAGAGAATTCGTCACATTAAGTACAAAGGGACGAAGCATATTCGTCGCACAAACTTTCTTGCACGAGGAACTACCAGTCGTCGCATGAAGTTTAAAAGGACAAAGGCTTTCATGGTGCAAGAGTGATGAAGGCAAGCTTCGTCGCATAAAGTTTTAAGGGACGAAGCTTTCCTTATCGTAAGATTTATCTATGTTGTCACGCGTGTAAATAGGGACGACGAAATGTTTCTTTAGGCAAACCATTTTTAAATTTAAAAACAAATGTTTAGAAAATGAGTTTTAAATATATTAATTTTTTTTGGTAAATTTTATTAGGAACAGTAATTGATAAAAGAAAAACAAAACTACAATTCTATTCCATTGCTGGTGGTTCAGGTATTCAGTGCAGTTTTGTCACATTCAACACCAAACTTCCACTCGCGGAAAGAGGATATGAATATGTTGTCGATGCACTTCATCATATTTGGGTCACTTTTATCAATGTCCCAATTAGGTTGTTATGCAAAAATTAATAAATTATAAATTTCACTAATATAATATATTTAACAAAAATAATAATTATTTAACTAATAAATTAACACAAACTTCTAACTCATAGTGCGTCTTTATCTCCTCAATTCTCTTTGATGAACGAGCACCTAAATCTACCATCGTACTCAAATTTAAATAACAACAGGAATTGTAGTATAGAAAAAAGTATAGTGTTTCCAAAACGAATTCTGAAGAATAGAGAGAGCCAAACTGTATATTTAATGGAAGTTTGAGAACATTGCGGGACAAAGGGTTTGTCGCGCAAAACCCTGCACTAAATAGAATATTTGAGAACATTCCTCTAATTCAATAGCATTGATTCCTCTTGACTTAGAAAACTGACAGTTTGGCGTAAATGTTCATATCTTGCGCGACGAAACCTTCGTTGTGTAATATTTCCGGGGGTAAATTTTCGTCGTGCACTTGTTTGCAACCAAAAAAGGACTTACCTGCGTTTTTCTCCCACACTTTGCGCAGCGAAGTCGTTATATCGTGCTGCAAAGCCCTTTTGCGGGACAAAACGTTTCGTTGCGCATTGTTCGATGATTTTGCAAGACGATGGGTCATTTTCGTTGAGCAAAACACACTAGTGTGACAAATTTTGCTTTGTAGCATAAAGATCTGTCATGCAAATAGTTTTTTCTACTGGTGAGTAAAAAATTTAGGATTGTTTTCCTATTTTCAAATAAAAAAAGTTACTCTTATCACATTTTTCGTATTATATTTATACTATATTTTTAATTGATATGTGATCCACATGTGATGGTGGATCCTACTGCTATTAAAAAAATGATATCGAAATGTAATGTAAAATGTAATAAACGTAGCTTTACACTTTTAAGTGGGCAGGTTTCATTCATAAAATTTGAAATTTCTCATTTTACAAAAAGAGAATATCCCTAAACCCGCGTCCACCAAAGTTGACATTTCCTCATTTGGTTTGGAGAACAAAGTGAGGCCCAGCGGATGATCTTTGGTCCCACTTCACATTCACTACATGGAACAAAATCTTAATCAAGAAAGGTTGTGTGACGCCTATTTTTTCCTGACCTCCATAACTTGCGAGCATTCACCATATTACTCAAATTTAGGGGACGGACACACGTCACATGGGATAACCATGACTAACCATTGTTAACTAATACATATTGTAATAGGGGTGTGCTATTCACACATCTATTTTTACTTCTTACACACCCTTTATTAATTTCTGCCCTTTGATCTTCTTTAATTCAGTCGATCCGACGGCCATAAATTAAAAGGGTGTGTATGAAGTAAAAAGGGGTGTGTGGATAGCACACCCCATTGTAATATTAGTATATATGATAAAGAGAAAACTAATTTAGAAATTAAATTGAACTTCCACATTTGTACTCATTAAAACTTTCGATTACTTTCCCTTATCAATCCATTTAGATTCATATGTGTTTGTAAATATGAATACAAGCAATATCACAACTTTAGAACTCGTTTGAAAATGTTTTTAAAATGACTGAAAGCGCTTTTGGTGAAATTTTGATTTTGGGTCCGAAATCCATTTAGATTCATATGTGTGTATATATAAGTGATATTATAACTTTAGAACTTGTTTGAAAGTGTTCTTAAAATTACTAAAAGCGTTTTTTTGTGAAATTGATTTTGGGTTCAAAAAGCACATTGTTTAAAGAAACATTAGATGCATGCTTCTTGCATGAAGCACTTAAAGTGCTTTACTAGGATCCTATCTGTTTCAAAAACATTTTCACCAAAAACGCTTTCAGTTATTTAAAAACATTTCCAAACAAGCCCTTCATTTACACTAGATGAAGGAAAAGTTCATAACTAATATAGCAATTCAGCACTTGCACTTTGATTCATATATAATTACGTTGCTCACTTTGCAGCCGAAAGGAGAGTTTTTATCATATAATTAAGGTTCTCACTTCCGCAGCCTCTAAACGTCTCTGAAAGTGCTGATACATGGCCCCTGCCATTGCAAAAGTAGCATTATCCTCATCAGATGAGGAGTTATCACTCCATGGTTGAGCCATTACAGTTTGGTGGTTGAGTGGTTTTTGAGAATAAAGGGATTGGAAGCTTATGTATTATAGAATTAGTGTGATACCATTTATAAAGAGTGAATGATATTAGAGATAACGATCCAACGAGTTAGTTTGAGAAGAGAAATCTGATCTAACAGTTAGTGGAAGATGAAATCTTATCTTGTCTAATTTCGGAGAATATGCCAATCAAATAGAAAGACCAACGGATGAGATTGAGATAAGATAATCCAATCCAACGACGGTTATGAAATAAAGTGTTATTTTGTTTGATTTTGGAGAATGTGTCAATTAGATAAATAAACCAACGGATGAGATGGAGATAAGATAATCCAATCCAATGGTTGTCATGAAATGAAATTTTTTCTTGTCTAATTTCATAGAAACAAACCAACGGATGAGATTGAGATAGAAAAAAACCTAATCCAACCATGCATAAGTGATGAGATATAACTTTGTCAGAATTTGAATTTTTTAGGTTGAAAAGTTCATTAAAAAAATTTAAGATAACACGTCTAAAATCGACTTAAGCAAAATTAAGGCAAAAATAAATTTAGTGCCTATTCAAATTACTATATAATTAAATATTAGTCCCATATAGAGCCCGAAAGGTATATAGCCCCTCATTGTGAGAGATTCCTTTTTAGGGCCTCAAAGATTCCTTGAAGCTCTAAATTGGACTGTCCACCACTCTTCCAGCCCCATATAAAGTTCCTCATTGGGGATGCTCTAAACATATTCATATCGCTTTCCAAAAGATTATGGCTTTTCCCGAACGAAGTTGTCCTCTGGATAGTAGGTCGAACAATGCCTTTGCATTCAATGACACAATGACAACAGGTTCTGCATTAGAAGTTGTGAATTTCTTTTTTAGCATTTGAAGGTATTTGGGTAAATTTATACATGTGTTTTGCCATATTTGAAAGTTATTATAAAATCTAACATTTACAAAATTAAGAGTCAAATTTCTCCACCCGGGTATGTAAGAGCAGCTCAATCCAGGCCCTGCCCCTGATCAGTCTTCCCTTGTGTGATCAATAAAAGCCAAGAAAAAATCTCTACTCTTGGCAGAATACAATTTTCTTAAACATCTTATTAGCACAAGAATGAGGAATTTCATTCTTGGAGATAAATCAGCCATTCATTTTACAATAAACTTAGTAGAAAGATTTGGAGTCACGTACCCCAAACATAATAATCCTTCTTTCTTTTAAAGGAATATGAATACCAGAAATAATATCAACAATATGAACCGGAACCAGAGATGAAAGTTTAGGAATGTCCCACCCACTACTAGAATTATAGTTATAAGACACCAATATTTGCACACTATTTGCAATTGGTGACTATAGACATTAAGGTGGAAAATGCTCCTTACAAACCTAGTTGTGAATGACCACTTCGCCTGGAAGGTTGTCTTTGTTGATAATCGGAGTCTGGCCTCAACCGTGAACGTATGCTCGTCCGTGGGCTTGATTGGGAGTGCACGCTCCTCCACGTGCTAAGACGAGAGTATACGCTATCCCGAGGATCCAGGCGGGAGTGTAAACTGCCAAAACACTTGGATCGTGGCTGGTTAAGAGGCTGATTGCTGGGACGTTGTTGGAGAGGTTCGTCATTTGCCCTCATCTTGCTTCGGGACACCTCGTCCGGGGCATGCTGCAAAAGCTGATTAACCAAGGTTGTCTGTTGCACGAAGGCACTTATCAACTTTATGACTCGTCGGGACAAGTGTTATTCGCCATGCGGGATGGAAGGGCATGGATGATAGGTTTCTCTATAGGTGGTGGAAGTGTAGTGGACTCCGAGTGGAAAATTTAAGCTAGGATAGGCCAAATTCGCAGAAACTCAGGATGAAAATGCCCCCAGTTCAATCGTCGGTCCAAAAATCTGAAGCTGGGATGGTTGAACTA